TTGCCCGAATCTGGTGGGAACACCGGATCAGCAATTCTGAAGTACGTCGAATGGTATTCGGGAGAAATAACTCACCCTCGATAGATGAACTGATCATACTGCATAGGTTTCGCTGACTTGGCCACGTGCTGCGTATGCCAGTCGACCGACTTACTCGAAGGGCTCTTTTCGCAAAAACACATGAAGGGTGAAAGAGGGCGGTCAAACAATTACTTGGCAGCGAAGTATGAAAGCCATCACCATCAAACTTAGCTGCGCTGGTCACTGCCGTCTTCCTGGATGGGGACCCCGAGACGGGCTACATCAGTGGCCAGAGACATGATCAGACATGGCCCAGTCGCGCCCTCAATGGCGCTCGTGCATCCAAGCTATTGCCTTCAATGCATAGCTCCTTTTTCAACCCCACCCCACTTGACAGCCCACTGACAGTGCTGGATTTATGCACCAATTTATCAGTTTATCCCGCCTGCAATGCGCAGCTACGTACCACCCCACCCCCCGGAATTATCGGTGAACGAAACTGCGGCAGCTACAACCACTGTACGACGAGTACGCGGTTATTACAACTGACAGTGATGATGATGATGATCAAAGGCATTATATTTGCTGACGACATCGCTGTTCTTCAGAACTGCCCATTCCCGCTGCATGGCTGGGTATGCACTGCACATCTGCGAAGTTCTGGTGTGAGGCTGGGTGGGACCGAATCCCTTCCCAGTGCTTGGAAACGAGTCCAGCGATGTGGCAGGCTTAGTAACCGTGGGGAACAGGTGAGCTGGTGAGAGAAGTCACTTTCCTAGTCAGAAAAGCCAGGTCAGTGTTTGTCGGCTTTCGAAATCTTTGGCTTTGACGTGGTGTGAGTTCAACGTGATGGGCTTGCACTGCCACGGCATTATCCATCGTACTCTACTCACCGTGTGCAGAGGACTGCATATGTGGCCATCGGTGCCCCCTAAAAATCTGATAAGAACATTGAATCTGCAGTACGGCCTACAGTGACAAAACAGTTGTCTCTCGCTCTCTCTGTAGGTAACAATCTCGAGGACGAAAATGCCATACACCTAACTTTCCTTTTGACGTACTGAAATGCGCGTTTTTTACATTATGCAAATGTAGATTTCATGCTATTTTTTCATTCTTTTCCTGTTCTTCCAACTCCTACAGTACCTTCTCCAATTCTTTTGGGCCAAGCACTTTATACACTGAAGGCACCTATACCATGTTGCTTTTCATCCTGTTGGCTGTACTGTGCTGTTATGCTGCCTTGTCTTATATACTTCTGCGTTTCCCCTGCTTGATTCATCGGACGAAACCACTTGGACCTGTCCCCGTGCACATCAGTCATCGTGGAGGTGAGTCTCCTTTCGTGCTGGCTTGTAATATGTTTTTGTTAGGTGCTGGCGAACGACTTGAAAACACAATGGATGCCTTCCAAAAGTAAGCCACTCACTTTCTCTTCACTTTATCTCCCAGTGCTGTCTCCCTGGGCACTGATATGCTGGAATTGGATTGCCACCTCACTCGTGACAGTGAAGTTGTCATCTTGCATGATCCGAATTTGAAACGAATTACCGGGGTTGATGTGGATGTCAGTAACGTCAACTACAATGACTTGCCAATATACTTGTCCAAGTTGGAAGTAGAATATCATCCTGGTGAGTTTAGCCCGAAGGCAATCATACTTTCCAGTAAAACCGACGCCAACTTGATGCTTATTGTCCACGTTCCTCGGGCTGCGGATTCACCAATCTTCTTGTTGCCAGTTAACGTTTCTAGGTTATATTCGATGATCTATTTACATCCAGCTGACGGACGAGTTAAGCTAAGTAAGCTCGCTGTGGCCATTTGGTCAATGGGGATTCAGTCGGCATTGATAGTCGAAGGCCATTCGGAACCCATTTGGACACAAGCGTAACGATTGACTCCGTTGTTTAGTTCAGTGGGACATAGCCGGCTTGTCCCTGTAATGTGTCCCTTTGTGAGCTTATTTAGCCGTCAGACTTGGCTTCGTACATGGGCCGTGTTTATCTGTTGGTAGATAGTACATAATTTATCTTGCGTCTGCAATGCATACTTCCGAACCGCTGCGTGTGTCAGCTGTGTGCAATTTCTAATCCCAGGCATAGTTGGTGAAAAGTGCACTCCCCACACAATGTCTGCAATATATACATTCAAAAAAAGTTCGGCCCTGGTAGGACTGTTGTGTTACGTGTGCTCTGTGCAATCTTGGAGCTTTGCTCCAGATGATGAAATGTGCAATGCTAACTCAGCAGAGAAGTGGGGCTATTCATACTAGCACTGATCAGCTGGATGCGCGACCTGCAAATACCCCATTATCTCAGTTACTGAACGTTGTATTCATTGCCCAGCTCTAATACGACGCTCGAAGAGACTGGACCTTACCGTGGTGTGACGGTTTGAGCACCTCAGCGGTCCATTGAGCTATACTGGAGAGTGTCCCGCGACACTCACAGAGTCTCTCATACCAGGTTGGTCAATGGTTAGAGGTCTGACGAACACAGTCTCCTGGCCCTCCAGGTTGGGG